CCGAAATTCGAAAGTGCGGGAGTGTCGTTCAAAGTATCGCGCGTACAAGTGCGGAAGTATTATTTTTTAATAAAAGTGCGGGTGTGCCGTTTAAAGTATCGCGCGTGTGAATCAACCTGAGAGGAGGAGGAGGCCTAGGAGAGGCATCAGGCATCGATGGAACATCCCTGTGGTAAGTTATTTTATATTCATTATTTATTAATTGCATATACGTGCAATTTAAATTAAGCAATTAATCGCGTAATTTGATTTTTTATTTATATAATTTAAACAAAAAAGAATTAAAGAAAAGGATTTTTATATGAATGCTGTAATCTTGTAAAAGTTTCCACTTTTAGATTATAGCTTTTATATAAAATTATTAAAGTTATTAATAGTTCTTTTTTTCAAAACTTATAAAATCATTTTATTAATTTGCTTATTATTATATATATCAAATATAAAATTCAATGCGTATAATAAAGTTTTTGAAATATTGATTATTTTGAGCGTTGCTACAATTTGCATTCTCTATTTATATGTTACAGATCAACGTAGCGACCCTGACATTCTGAGAGGAGGAGGAGGCCTAGGAAAGGCATCCTGCACCAGCGGAGCAACCCTAGGGTGAATATTTATTATTTGTATATTAATTATTATAAATCGCGTATCCACGTACGCATTGATTTAGTCTCATTATTCAAATAAATAAGACAAAAAAAATTAGAGAGAAAAGACTTTTATAAAAATCTTATAAATGTCCCTATTATAAAAAAAAAATAGAATTTATAAAAGTTTCATATTTATGTATCGCTTATTATTGTACGTATCAGATATCATTAAAATATATTACAGGTACAATTTAAGATATGGATTAAAATAAAAATTTTAAAAGCATATAAAATATTTTTTTCAATTGATACATTTTATTTAATTTATTTAATAAAGAAGGCGCTACAAATTTTATTAATTGTATAAAATAGTAATAGCTTATTTTCATGTTGCGCCGATTTTATCCTAATTTTTCATAGCTCATTCATCTATATTATTTTATCAATTAAAGTTTTGCTTTAATTGATATAAAGCCAAATTATTGATCTATTAAATTATATAAAATATAAATCTTTCATTAAGTTTATTTTAATATAAATT